ACTGGAAGTAAACTAGGCAAGCCATACCAAACTTCCTGATGTGATTCTCCAAATAGCTTAGCATTCTTGTGTACTGGTTTTAATTATTTATAATTATCAACATTCCATTTGTGCTTATTTTTAATTTTATATACTTACCAAAAAAGGAGTGTTTTCTACTTATTACTCTGAACTATGGTTATTGATTTTTTTTTTCAGGAGCTCTACTCAAGTGTATTATTTCAACATATATTCATTGAATCTTCTTGTTTTGTGTACTTACTCAGTTTTGTCTGGCTTCCTCACATAATAATTTATCTGGCAATGTACATAATTGTAAAATCTGATTCCGATTTTTATGTTTTCAATTTGTTTGCATGACTGATTTGTAAGTAGTTCAGGGATAACTCAGAAACCAGTTTTAGAAACAGTAAGTGTTTTGAAAACAAAGTAATACATGGTTCCTGCAAAATTATGTATTATAGAATCTATGATTTATAATAATGTCTCTTGAAGGGCTCAGTGTAAGTCAGATTTATGGTTATACTTAATCATATGCACCTATGCTCTTTCTGTTTTCTAAAAATTGTGTTGCATGTATTTTGTATTTATTTTTTTTTATTTAATGACATAGTACATGAGGTTTAAAAAATGTAATACAGTCAGCAAAATGATTTGTGTAGAAATTTGAGGAAACTTGTGATACCAACATGCATTTATAAAAGAGGTCTCTTAGTTAAAAGTTTGCCTATAACTTTAAGCTTAGTCTGAGGATGCCTAGTAGGGGGATTGGTTGAGTGTAGGAGTTCCAGACTAGCCCTGGGCAGCATGGGACTTTTTTTTTTTTTTTTAAGTTTGAGTTCTTTCTATTATTCTTAAAGAAATATAGAACATTGAAATACACACACACACACACACACACACACACACACATCACTCCTGCTTGGAGATTAGCTATGTTAGAAGAAATGTTACATTTTGCCTTGCAAATGTATAAAGAAATCCATAATAATTTTGGAAAATGTTATATTCTTGATGTTCTGAAAGGTTGTTTAGATCAACTTGATACCTTTTTTAGGTTCATTGCAGTATATCTTTAATAAAATGAGTTACTCAGTTTTGGGTGGTTTTAGGACTCTCAGAGCTTCACTGATCAGAGGAGCTGTTTAAAAATAATTAAATTAAAAATTAGATATATCTTTATAGTAAGAAATGGAAGCTAACAATCTCCACTATTTTATTCAGTAGTCCTCTAGTTGTGGAGGTGTTTTAGATCTTTACATAGAGCATGACCACAGTGGCCAATTTCAAATTTCATTGTGTGTGAACTTCATCTCATTAAAATTAATATTTACTAAATATTATAGGTCAGTGTTTTGACTGTATGAGTGTCCATTTCTGATTTTCTTGCTTAAGTTCACAGACACATTTTATGTACTGTGTTTCATACATTCATTTATGTATATTGATACAGGGAATATGTGCCACACGAAATTGTGGACCGTGGGGATACTTCACTGAACAAAGCAAACGAATAAATTGATTACCTAGGGAGCTTGCATTCTGGCAGGGGTAGAGGGGCGAAGACAATGAAAAAAGATAAGACAAATAGAAACAGAGGTAAAAAAAAGTCTCTGTGTTGATAGTGGTATATACTACAGAAAAGAGTCAATGAAGTAAAAACATAAAAAAATCAGTTGCAATGAGAAGAGGGATTTTGAGTATTGTGTTGGGTGACCATGGTAAATCTTAACTGAAAAGTGAAATTTGATAAAAGACTGAAAGACAGTAAGGAAGCTATAATTCATAGCTGCTGAGGAATTAAGCGGCAAATAGCAGGTTCTAAGGAGGGAGTAAGTTGAGTGTGTGATCTAAAAATATAGTGAATATCTAAAATGTGTATTATAGCAACAGACACATTGCTGTTATTACCCGCGGAAAACACTTTCCCTCCCTTGAAGCACACATATCCCACAGATCTTGCCACTTTCTTAAGCAGTTCTGGTAAACCTTTTTCCTGAGTTTTTAATTGTGCTATCACGATTGCCTTGGTTTCCTAAATTGAGGCAAATCATTTACCTTTTGTGATCATTCGATTTTGGGAAAGGGTCGGAAGTTGCCCAGTGCCAGATTAGGTGAATAGGGTGCATGAGGACACACTGCATGTTTTTATGTGCCTACCTGTCTGTTAAGTGGACTCCCCAGGAGCATTCACTGTTTTTGTGATCGTATTCTTAAATAATTCATGAATGATGGCTGTAACTGCTGTTAGACTGAAGGGAGGACAAGGGATGAAGCCCAATATTTAGCTAAACTTAACTGTGGTCATTTTTATTACTCATTACGTTACACTTCTACATGTCTTTTATATGTCAATTCTTAATTCATTTGATATAAGAATACCTTTCAGGATAAGTAAGCTATTCACAAATAATTATTAGTTTTTAATAAAAT